GTTGTTATAATAATAATAATAATAATAATAATAATAATAATAATAATAATAATAATAATAATAATATGTTTTTAGTATAAGTTGTCATTTGATTTATCAACTTTATGATTTACAATTGTAAGTTTTTGCATGACACCTTATTCACCTTCGTAACCCAACAAGTGATATCAGATTTAATCATCCAATGGTTGAACAAGATTGAAGACATGTTCAAATGATTTTCAAATCAATTTGCAATCAACGTGATAATAATAAAAAATTTTGCGCTACTACATGTGGAGAAAATTTTCAAATATATTTTCAACAATATCTTGTTGCTCTCCATATTATAAAATAGAATTGCTTTTTAACTCATGCTTACTTTAGAGCTTGGGCTCCAACTTTCAATCCCTGCAAATTTTAATGCTCGAGCTTCACTTTTAACTCATGTATATTTACTTTTAAAGCATGAGCGCCACTTTTGACTCATGCATCTTACTTTTAATGCATGAGCTCCATTTTTAACTTATGATATTAATATTAGGGAAAATGGTCTGATATACCTCTCGACTTTGTCATTTAGAGCTGATATACCCCTTTTTATGAAATTGACTCATATATACCCCTACTTGTAAACAAATGGCTCAACCCTTTTTCTCTAACGGAAATGAAAAAAAATAATTTTAATTTAAATTTTTATTATTTTTTCTAAAAAGTATAATCCTATATGAGAAAATTTAATCCTCGTCAAACATTATTTTTTGACTTTTTTTTTGTTTCAATGACTAATTTATAATTATTATTTTGAATCAAATTTATTTTATGTTTCACTAATATTCTTGTAAAACTTATTGTAGATGAACAAATTTTTTCTTCGAATACGAAATTAAATTACAATACACACAAAAAAAATAGTTTAATTTTTTTTCTTTAAACTAAGGAATGTAAGAAAAAAACAAAATAAGAATAAGAAACTCAAATAATTATAATAAAAGAAGTCAAAAAATAATTTATGTATGAAAAAAATTAAAATATACCTTGAACTTTGATAGAAGAATCATATATACTCCTAAATATTTTTTTTAAAAAAAAATTAGAACTAATAAATATAAATTTAAAAACTAATCTTTTAACTTCCGTTAAATGAAGGGTATATGTGAGCTATTTTGTAATGGCAGGAGTATATGTAAGCAGTTTGTATAACGGTAAGGGCATATATGTGCCACTTTTATAACGAGGGGTATATCAGATCCAAATGACAAAGTTGAGGGGTATATCAGAACTTTTTCCCTTAATATTAATTCACTTTGACTCATGCATCTTACTTCACTTTCAACCTTGCTCATAACTTTTAACACAAGACTTTAAATTTTAACTCATATCAATTTTTAAATCATGGTAAGCAGCAATGATATATGAAGATCTTGTGAAGAACAAAATTATCAAGCATATGAATGAGACAAATCAAGTTTTGATAAGAAAATTCAGTCAAAAAGGGAGATTTGTTAGAGTTTTGCCCTGATTTTCTTTTCTTATTTAAAGTTTTTTTTTCTTAAAGAAAAGTCAAATTATTACCATTAATGTTTTAACTTTTTCTGAAAGAAAAATATAATTTTCTTCAATATTAGTTTATTCTTTCCTTAGAAGAAAATTCTGAAAATCTATAATTAATTGAAGATCCCTATTCTCATAACATAACACAATAACTTCCACAATGTAGACGTTTAATAGTTTAATTTAGGCATAATACATAAATATGCCGTTTAACTTGGCTTCGAATCACATTTATGTCCTTCAACTTTGGGTGTGCACAATTAGACACTTAAACTTGTATAAAGTTGAACAAATAGGCATACATGTCCTACATGTCATCCTACATATCATTTTTTGTCCTACGTGGTATCTTACATGTATTTTGTCATGTAGGACTCATGCATTTATTTATTTAAAAGTTGGATGGTTAAAGTGTATGTTTGTGCATTATGAAAGTTGAAGGTCAAAGTTAAAATTTGAAACCAAATTTAGGGTCCAATATATGTATTATGCCTTTAATTTATGGGGAGATTTATTCTCTCAACAATTTAAAATATTTTTCTTTTTATCATCAGTTTACGTCTTTTAGTATAGTTTTATTTGTCATCTAATTCATTATCATACAATTTGTGAATTATAAGCTTTCGCATAACGCCATGATCTGTTTCGAACTCAAACAATTGTTCCCCATGATCTTGTAAAGCTATAGGTATTATTCCCTTAAAGAAATACAAACATTAATGTATGAATAGTATCTTTCATAATGGTCCGAATCACTACTTATCGAAATAAAAAGAAAATAAATCGCAATGTCTCTTGAAGAAGTTTTCTAGTGTTGTTTTTATCTTATATATAGTATATCAAGTTATTTTTTCACTTCAATTTTTTTTAACAGCGTGAAGCATATGAATTTTTAAATTTCTATTTAGTGAAAAAAAATGAGATCAATAGATAATGAGAATTTAATTCTAAATTAAAAGTATTAAAAAAATTATACAAGTAAGAGATATATATACTCAATTAAATAAATAAATTCGATTTTTTTTGCAAATGGTCATATTTTCAATATTTCCATAACAATCATCAATGCCTTAACAGAAAAAAGTTTTCCAAAATTAAAAATAACAAAATCTCATATAAGATCAATAATATCTCAAGAATGATTAAGAATTATTATTTAGAGAAATCAATCGAGTACAAAAAATCTCAATCTATAAGAAATCATCGATCGTTCTTTTTTTCTAACTTTATTGAAATTCAAATAACCCTAAGTTTAAGATTCAAGAACAGACTTTAAGCAACTCGGAGGTAACTCGATGCCGGTGGCGTGTCCAATGGCATTAGCACACGATGCAATTGTAGGTTTAGTATTATAATTAATCAAATCAATATCATTAAGATTAATTTTTTGACAAGATAATGAAGAACTGCAATTAAAATTCACTGCCACCAATGAACTTGAAGTTCCTCTTATGTTGTTGAATGTCACACCCTTGATTTGCACTAAGCTTTTCTACAAATTAAAAAAATAAATAAAATGAGAGTGAAATCAATAAATTAATACAAAGTATAAAGCTTATACAAATTTTCATATTTCACATAGACATATGTGTGTTTGGGATACTAAAATATGTGTAATTCACAAAACAAAACAAAAAAAAAACTCATTTTATTGTTTATTACTCCCTCTGTTTTAAAAAAGAATATTCTCATTTCCTTTTTAGTTTGTTTAAAAAAGAATGACCTTTTTTTAAAAAAACATTTTACTTTCAGTTTTTCACATGACATGTGTAAGATCACAAAATTAAAAGATAATTTCGTACATTTGACAAAACTTTAATTTAGAACTACAAGCTTCAAAAGTCTTCTTTATTTTCTTAAACTACGTGCTTAGTCAAACTAGGTCACTCTTTTTGAAACTGAAGGAATAACAATTTTTTTCAAATGTCTTTCATATTCAAGAATTTCGCCAAAAATAAAGAAAAGTATTATTCAAAAAGTTTATTTTTTATTGAACATGTCTTATGAGTTTAGTGGCAAAGTCGGGATTGGGAGTTTGAATGTTTAAATTTTAGGATGGAAGAGAAAATATTACAAAGCATTCTTGGGGGTTTTAAAATTTAAGATAGAAGAGAAAAATGTTACAAAATATGCTTGGGGGTTCTAAATTTAGGACGGACGGAAAAAATATTACAAATCATGCTTGGGATTTTTTAATTTAGGATAAAAGAGAAAAATATTGCAAGACATATATTTTTTTTACACATAGAAACTTTTATCGACAGTAGAATTCAAACCCACAACACTAGTATGAAAAGTATTTTCACCACTAATTCTGTACCACAGAGTCATCATTCATCATTCAGTTTTAGTGGGAGGTTTAATTGCAAGTTAATATACATACATTTTTTTAATTTTCTAATATAAATATAAAATCTACGAAAAAACTAGTGAATTCGGATTCGTTTGAACCCATACCCCCCTCCCCCAAGTAAACATACTCAATATATAAAATTTGAAGATGAAATGAAGGAAAAAAGAAATTAGTACCTTAATATTGCAAGTATGTGAAGGACAATAATATTGATCAATAATAATAGGATTATCCACCTTGTCCATTAGAATATCCTCAAAATATATATTTGTAGCTGCACCAACATTTGATGATGCCCAAGTCTTAATCCTCATTCCATTTTGAGTAGCAATAAGAGTACAATTTTTCACATGTACATCTTTAACAACTTCATTTGGTTTATTCCCTAAGCTTCCAATGCTTATTCCATGGCCAGGACCACATGTGACTCTAGAAATATTAACATTTTGACTTCCAGCAAATATAGATATACAATCATCTCCAGTACCAATATTCGAATCGAAAACTCGAATATTCGACGATAAACTAATGTGAATTCCATCAGTGTTGGGACTATCACTTGGTGCAATTATATGTACATGACTTAATGTCACGTTATTGGAATTATAGATATCAAAATGGAACATCTTGCTATTGATAGAGTGTATACCATGCACAATTGCATTTTGGATAGAACTCAATCCAATAGTCTAAAAAAATATTGAAAATAATATTTAGTTAGTAACAACTTCACATGCACACAAAAGAAATTAATTGTAAACCATAAAAAGATCAAGGAAATAACACAAGCTTTATTAAATTAAACAGAAAATCGAATCAAATCGCATATTCTGATAGGACTTAAAGAAATATTTGGAGCACTAGGTTTAAAAAAATTGAATTTTATTAGTTTGATTTGATTTATAAATTTAAAAGTTCGACATAAATAATTTGATTTGATATTTGAAAAACTCGCACTAATCCGGTCATGTGTACCCCAATTTGTGACCTTATAATAGTACAAAATCTTTTTTTAAATTAAAAATTTACTTTACCTTTCACAAGAGGAGGCACAAAATGAATACAACAAAATAAGAACACAAATTAATTTAGAGACCAAAATTAAAATTTTATCGTGTCAAATAATGATTTATTTTCACTTCAACTTTCATCTAATGCTTTATCAAATAAGCATTTTAAAAAAATAAATTAAAACAGATAATAGATAACGTAAAATTCAGTATAACTAATCTTAATCAAAGTAATTTAGACAAAAAAAAATATAGTGTAACTAATGAAAATTGGTAAGTACTTCTTCATCCTTAACCAAAAGGTCTCTGGTCGAGAACCCTTAGGACATAATCGCCTTCGTAAGGGAGTGTTTTACCCCTTAAGACCTCCCAACAGAAATCCAAATTTAATCGGGACTCCAATTTGAATACCAAACACCGACTGAAAAAAATAAAACTAATGAAAACTTACATAAGGACGAGTTGCACATTGAGATTGTCCCCAAGCAGAAGCTCCTTCACCATCTAAAGTTCCACCACCTTTAATCTCTAAGTTATTTATATGTTCAAAAGAAATCCAAGAACCCTTGCAAAATATATTAGGATTTGTTGAAGCTTTAATAACTCCTTGAATTTTAACAATTAAGGATCCTTTGCATGGTCCAAAAAAAGTTACACCATATATCATATATGTTCCTAGAGGTATCAAAAATGTAGCTTCTCCATTCCATTTGCATGCATCCTTCCAAGCTTTCAAAAATACCTTTTATTTATAAAAAAATTAAAAATTAGTAAAAGAATATTTAATTAGTCACTAAATTTCTTATATCTACATGAATTATGGCAACTATATTTACTATCATAAAATGTCGTTGTGGAATGGTAAGTACTGCTTTATTCTTAATTAAGAGATTTCGGGTTTGAATCCCTTTGGATGTGGGGAATCCCCTTTCTTAGGGAGTGCTTTTACACCCACCAATGTGGGACTTCTGATGCAAATCCAAATTTAGTCAGACTCCAGTGAGACCTTCGATGTAAATTCAGATTTAGTTAGACTCTAATGTGGATATTGAACACCGGATGAAAATCGATGAATAAAAGAAGAAGACATCATTATATAGACTTGAATAAAATTAAAGATACATTAAAAAGTAAAAATGAGACTTTTACTATGTAAAAAAACTAATTTTTAGTGGCAATTAATCAACAATAATAATTTAATTGCCGCCAAATATATTTTTTTCATCGAAATTAGTAAATGTCTGATGCACTTATAGCAACATTAGATGCGTATATATATATATATATGACAATTAATTAAAACACCAAATAGGAAAAAAACTATATTTACTCATTTACCAAAAAAAAAAGAAGAGAAGAAGAAGACATGTTATACATGAAATAATGAATTAAATAAATAAAAATAAACACACACACACAAAAGGAGACTCATTCTTATGTCAAAATTGAGTTTTAACGGCAATTAATCATCAATAATTTAATTTCCACTAAATATGATTTTTTTTCATGATAATTAATAAACGTCTCTAAAATTGATAGCAACAATGAATATAATGACAATTAATTTATATTAATGAAGATATTAACACGCTTTGTTAACGTACATATTAATAACCGCTAAAAGCTGATTTTTTTTTTTATATAGTATTTGTGTGTATATAAAAAATGACAATTAATTAAAAATGCATTAAAAGGTAATATGAATTGGTTCTCACCTCACTATCATCTGTCACTCCATCTGCTTTGGCACCATAGGATATGACACTAAAAATTTTGTCATCAGCATTAGTGCATACAAAAACAAGGCTTAATATTAAAACTATTTTCAAACAAAAGTTTGAAGCCATTTGTGTTTTTTTTTTGTTCTTTGTTCTTTATTTTTTCTTTTTTTCAATTGGTGTTTATATGGACCTTCTTTTTTCCCTAGACTTTCCAGTTGACTCAATTATACTTATTTCAGATTAAATTATTTCCTTACTAGTGTTGACAAGTGTTATTTTTGACAATTTACATTAAATTATTACACCCAAAATATTTGTTTGGATTTAGTGAGTTGCAAAGAAAGAAAAATGAAATTATATCATGGTATGTTGAATGAATATCATGGTAAGTTGACTGAAATACCAGTCAACTTATATAAAATAGTGACTAATTATTTATATGTCAAAGATTTTGATTACTATATTTTGATTTTAATGTTCGCTTTGGGTGATTGATTAATAAAGAGAGTTGTTTATACTTTATTTTGAGTTTTTTTTTATATGTATAAGGTAATATGATATAATTGAGCTGTTTCTTAAAAAGTCAAAGTCATAATTCTTTATTATACAAATATATGTAAGTTTAAAACTTGAAGTTGACCAAACTATATTAAACTATTTACAGTACCATGAAATACCAAAATCGATATTCAAAATATTAATTTATACCGAATTAATTTGATGTGATAGTAAAATAATATTTTTTTAAAAATCGTAAATCAAATAACGGTATCAAACTTTTCAATACCGTATCATGCTCACCCCTAGATTGTACTATTATTTACTAGACTCTTAATTTTTTCAAAATTAGTGTCATTGTGAATAGGGAATATTCACTAAGTAGCTCAAAAAGAATAAAAGAAAATATTCAGTGAAAAAAATTGCGATTATGAGCTGATTGTGATATGCGATAATAAAATTGATTATGTCTGTCTTGGTCCTTATATTTCTTCTTTCATAGCCCTCGGGATACGAAATTAACCAATTAAGAAATCTCAGATGTACTAACATCACATTTTTGATGCAATCATCAATTCCCTCAAGAGGCCACAATTATCGCAAACAAAGATATTAATGACGATCCACGTGCTTTTACGAATTTCATCTATATTAAATTTCTTAATATTATAATAGTTTATATAGTCATGATCATCCAGTAAAAAATTGACATCAAACCCAAAGGAAAATGGTTTTAAGTACTTAAATTGACATGAAATTCTATCAAAAATAATTTCAAATACTTGAATTGATTTGAAATTCGAAGGGAAAAAACGATTTCCAGATTTTTTTATTATTAATATATTCACATGGGTATATGGGCTCGCTAAGAATTTATTAAAAAATAACTTTCATAGCAACACAAAAATCATATTTATATGTTATAACTATAGTTTGCATAATTGTCCTTCATAGCAAACATAAATATGTATATTTTGCTATAGATATACAAAAGAAAGCAGTTGTATAATTTCGCTATACATATATCATAAAACAGTTGTATAATCATCTTTAGTATACATTTGCATTTTTGTATAAAGTGAGAGATGAGAGTGAGCGAGCGAGATCTGGGAGAGTGACAAGCGAGATTTGGGAGAAGGAGAGGGTGGAATGAAAATATATGTATGTATACAATTTTCTTTCTCTTTATAAGCCATAGATGCATTTTTATACATTTGTATTTTTGTATAAAGTGAGAAAGGCGAGCGAGCGAGCGAGCAAAAATTGGGAGAGTGGCGAACGAGATCTGGGAGAGGGGATATATACAATTTTCTCTCGCTTTATACAAACACAAACGCATTATACATCTGCGTTGTATAAAAAAGCGAGAGAGGCGAGGGAGAGAACGAGAGTGACGAACGAGATTCACCTAGAGAGAGGAGAAATAACAACAGTTTGCTATGTGGTACAATTAATCAAACTATATTTATAGCATTTAATTTAAACTAATAGTTTGTTATTATATACAATTTTTCCTTTATTAAATAAACATTTCTTTAAAATGTTTCTATGTTGCCAAAGGATGGACTTATCTAGGGAAAATTACGCAATTAAGCAAACTTATACTACTTAATTACTCATCATAACTATAATTTGCTATAATTACCACTCATGACTAACTTTATAATTTAATTATGTGGGTATACTTCGAGTTCGTATAAATAACCACATTTTTATATGTATAATTCGCCAGAATATACAAATACATATGTATAATATACAATTATCTAATCAATATACATTTACAATTCACCTCTCTCCCACTCTTTGCCCTCTTTCGCTCACCTCTCTCCTCCCTCTCCTAATCTCGCTTGCTTTTTATACACATTCATATGTATAATATTCAATTATCTAACCAATATACATATACAATTCACTTCTATCCCACTCTCTCCCCTCTGTCGCTCGCCTCTCTCCCAATATCGTTCGTCTCTCTCCTCCCTCTCCCAATCTCGCTCGCTTGTCTCCCCTCTCCCCCAATCTCACTTGTCATATATACAAATACATATGTATAATATATAATTATCTAACCAATATACATATACAAATCAGATTGAGTCTTCACCCGTTCAAGTTTACTTTGGGCTCAAATGAGTTGAGCTCAAATGGGCTAAAAAAATGGATTGGGTCATGATCCGTTTAATCTCAATAATTTTAACATAGTGATATTTAACTTTTATAATCACAATTTGAATTTCAACTCAAGTTTTTTTTTTAAAAAAAGTAACCAATGAATAGATAAATCTTAAAATATGTTAAATAGATAATAATTCATACCTTCAATATCGAACATATTTTTATACAAAGTTTTAAAACGGGTCGAAATTGGAGATCCAATTGGGTTCAATTGAAAATTCTCTTAAAATATCTTAAACTCAACTCTTAAAATTCTGAATGGATACCTATGTTTGGTTCATTTTTGACACCCCTTCAAAAAGTAAATTAAAATTTTACAAAATAAATGAATAAAAAATCCTCCATCCTACCAAAAACGCACTTAATTTTATATTTAGAATAAGTCAATTAAAGGACTTGATCATAATGGAGAAAAAAAGAAAAAAAATATTTACTTTTTGTATTATTTTCTAGAAGAGAAGAGGGTGGTGAAAATAATGATTGAGAAATTACTTTTATTTATTCAACTTGGGTTTATAACTATGTTTAAGATATGGTTAGGTTAAGATTTATTCAACATGGTTAATTCTTTTACTTGAAGGAAAGGCAGAAGAAAAGAGGAAATACAAGTGTGTTTAAAATATTGTATCATAAAATATTCTTTGGTAATCTTAGTTAAACACTATAGTGATTGATTGGCGTAGATAGTGATTGAATTAGAATTTTTGCTAAAATACTTAAAAAACAAAAAGTTACACATATAAAAATTTAATTTTTTTAAATATTTATTATATATACATAAAAATAATTTTAATATTATATATAAAGTGAACCAAGTCGCACTTTCTAGCTCAGTCATTGACCTGAGGGTATAGCGACACGGACCGGATGTGTTGGAGGATCAGTAGAAAATAATAAGTTCAAACTGTTGTTTATGAAATTTATTTTTTCTTTTTATATAAAATATTATTTTTTTATTTTTAAAAAACGTGTATGCTTCAAAAAAAATATGATTCCAATTCTTTTTATTGATAAAACATGATTTTTTTTCTTCTAAAAAAGACAATTCTTCCGTACAAAAATCCACCCTAAGATCTACATATGTACTCGTACTCTTGATATAAAAATATATTTATAATTAAGTCTCTCGAAATTAAATTTATCTTGGAATATGTATCTAACCTAAGAAATAAATATTTCCTTTGTATGAAGAAGTTGATAGAGGTGATAAGACAATGATATGATGCACCTTTAGATAGCTAAGATATGATATTAGAATTTTTTTTGTGGAGGACAGATATTAGGATAAAAGATAAGTATGTAGTGTACACTATGTTATATTGTGAAATTTTACCATATATATTTGTTGTTGTTGGGTCTCACTAACTTAACAAAAACTTGTAATATTTTATTTAAAAACTATTTCAAAAGTTGATCAAGTATATACTAGCTATAATCAAACATTATTTTAAAATTTCATTTTTTGGAAAATCCTGGCCAAATAATCCCTTTCATTCTTTAGGGACAAATAGTCCCTTTTTAAACTATTTTTTTTTGTTTGATTTGTTTATAAAAATGAGTAATTAGTCTCAACTAATCCTCCCTTTAAATCCTCACCATCAAACTCTCTCACAAGGCCATATTCAGATTTTTTTTAAAAAAACATATATATTCTCTTTAATTCTTATTTATTTGAAAAATAATGGGATGCAAGCAAATTGACAAATCAAAGCCAAAGCAAAAGCATAAGAAGGGATTATGGTCTCCATATGAAGACCAAAAACTCAAAGATTATATCCTCAAACATGGTCATGTCTGCTGGGCATCTGTGCCAATCAATGCTGGTTAGTTAATTAACTATAAAC